AGAAAAAAACCCCACATAATCATCTCAACAGATACAGAAGCATTTGAGGAAATTCAACTCTTTCCATGTAAAAAAAAAAACAAAAAACACAAAAAACTAGAGATAGAAGGGAACTTCTTCAACATGATAAAGGCCATATATGAAGAATCCACAGCTAACATCATACTCAATGATGCAGGAATGAAAGCTTTTCTCCTAAGATCAGAAACAAGACTGCCTGCTTTCATTATTTCTGCATGCTGTTGAAAGTTCTAGCCAGAACAGTTAAGCCAAAAAAAGAAAAAAGAAATGGAAAAACATATAGATACAGAAGAAATAAAATGGTCTCTATTCACAGATGACACAATCTTCTTATATGTAGAAAACTCTACTATATAAAGATTTTACACGTACATATAACCATACTATTAGAATTAATAACAAATCCAGCAAAGTTGCAGGATACGAAAAACACAAAATCAGTTGTTTCTGTGTGTTAACAATGAACAGTCTGAAAAGGAAATTAAACAATTCCATTAACAATAGCATCAACGAGAATAAAATACTTATAGGTAAATTTAAGCAAGGAGGCAATAATTTGTACCTTGAAAACTACAGAATTTGGCTAAAAGAAATTAAAGACATAAATAAATGAAAATAACATCTCACATTCATGGATTGGCAGACTTAATATTGTAACAATACTATCCAAAACGATCTGCATACTCAATGTAATCTCTCTCAAAATTTTATCAGCCTTTTAGCAGAAATAAAAACCCCAGTCTAAATTCATATGAAATCTCAAAGGGCCTCCTAATAGCCAGAGCAATCTTGAAAAGAAAGAACAAAGTTGAAGGACTCTCAACTTCCTGATTTCAAAATATACTACAAAGCTAAAGTATTTTAAAAGGTGTGGTATTGACGTAAGGACAGATATGTAGAGCAATGGAATAGAATAGAGAGCCCAGAAATAAACCCTCTTATGTATTGTCAGATGATTTTTAACAAGGGTGGGAGGAAGGACCATATTTTGAACAAATGGTGTTGAGAAAACTGGATATCCACATGCAAAAGATTGAAGTTGGATCTTTGCTCTACGTCATTTATAGAAATTAAAAATCCATCAAACACCTAAATTTAAGAGCTAAAGTATAAAACTTAGAAGAAAAGATAGGGAAAATTTTTTTCATGACATTGGATTTTGTGGTGATTTCTTGAATATGACACCAAATGTACAGGCAACAAAAGAAAAAAATTGGGTTTTAGCAAAATTAAAAGTTTTGTGTATCAAAAGATACTATAAAGAGAGTGAAAGATAACCCACAGAATGGGAAAAAATATTTGTAAATCACATATCTGCTAGTGGATTTATATCCAGAACATATAAAGAACTCTTACCACTCAACAACAAGTACACAAACAATTCAAAAATAAGCAAAGGACTTGAATACATGTTTCTCCAAAGAAGGTATACAAATGGCCAATAAGCTCATGAAAAGGTGAATTCAATATCACTAGTGTTAGGAAAATGCAAATCAAAACCATTGAGAGGAATAATTCAAGGACACAACATCATTAAAATAACTATTATCCAAAAAATCCAAAAAATAAAAATAAATAAATGATGTAAGGATGGAGAGTAATCGGAACCCTAGACATTGCTTGTTCGAATGTAAAACCATTGTACAGCTGTTTGGAAAACCGTTCCTCAACAGTGTGGACAGTTCCTTAAATTGTTAAACATGAAATTACTATGTGATCCAGCAGTTCAGTCCTGAGATGTTAACTCCGAAGATTTGAAAGCAGGGACTCTAGCAGATACGTGTACACCAGTGTTATAGCAGCACTATTCACAATAGCCAAATGTGGAAACAGTCAAATGTAGATTGACAGATAACTAGATTAACAAAATATAGTATATACATACAATGGAATATTATTCAGTCTTTAAGTGGAATGAAATAGTTCTGATACATGTTGCAACAAAGATGAACCTGGAAGACATGCAAAGTGAAATAAGCAAAACACAAAAGAACAAATATTGTATGATTCCACTTATATGAGATACATAGAATAGCAAACTCATAGAAACAGAAAGTGAAATAGAGGTTACCAGAGGCTAGGGGGAAGAAGGGGTGAAGAGTTATTTTTTAATGGGTACAGAATTTTTGTTTGGTATGATAAAAAAAGTTCTGGATATGTATAGTGGTAATGGTTGTACAACATTATGAGGGTACTTAATGCTACTGAATTAATGTCACACACTTAAAAATGGTTAAAATGTTAAATTTTATGTTACATATATTTTACCACTAAAACAGTTGATGCGGGATTGCTCCACGGGTCAGGTGTCCAGGGGACCCTGACCTGGAGCTCCAGTGACCAGGTCCTTGTCTTATGCTGCAAGAAAGAATTCAAGGATACAGCAGACCACAAGTTTTACTAAAGTGAAAGTACACACGTAAGAGAAAAGTGAGGAGAACTCAGAGGTTTCCCCTAAGCTGTCTGAATTATGGGCTTTTGTTTTCTTGTTTTTTTGTTTATGGGCTTTTATTTGTTTTCCTATAGGTGTGGGTGTCCCAAGGCAATCCATCCTGCCTCCAGGTCTTAGCTTGTTTCTCATGCCACTTGGAAGGGAGAGTGTGGCCCAAGGACATCTATGTTGTCTCCCGACCATGGCACTTGAAATCAAAACGGGGGGAAGCCTGAGTAAGGGGCAAGGGAGAAATTCCAGAGCCACAGGGAAAGGGCTCAGTAAGAGACTAAGGCAAAATTCTAGAGCGGCATCCTTGAGGGGAAGGGGAACTTCCCTAGGCTACTTATCCTGCCTTATTTATATGTCCTCAAATATGCATGCATTTTTGTAAATAGGTATTATTATTTTGTGTACATGTGTTTTTAATTTGTAAGAAGATAGTGTACTATTAATGCCAGCATTATGTTTTAAAATTGTTACTTTATATATGATTTTTCAATGCTTCTAACTTTTAACTATATTTTAGTTATCTATTCCTCAAAGGATGGACACCTAAATTATCATCAGCTCCATACTGTTACAAAACATACTGCAATTAACATGTTTTTACATTACCCTTTATAGATAGGATAATCACAGTGGTTCAAACTGAGATGCTTTTGAAATTGAAGTGGAATATTTTGATTACACTGGGACAACAGGTGTATATCAAGACTCCCAGACAAACCAAGATATGTGGTCCACCCTGTTTATGGAAGATTGTCCTAGGACACAGCCGATAGTCAGCAGATATGTACTGAGATACCCCCTTTTACCTCTAGTTGTTTCCAGCTGCTGCCTGTTACAATTGGTTGGTGCATATTCTGGACTGATTGATGCTTATTTTAAATATTACCCTTGCTAGAAACTACTCATGAAGGGGGATGTCTGGGGCACAGGTTATAGACATACTTAATTGCAATAAGTTTGAGTTCTAGTTCAGTCTTGTCCTATTAGTAGAGAGACAGACTTTTTAATCTGTCTTTTTATATTTCAGGACTTTTCACATTTATACTGTATATTTATTCATCCTTTCTCCATCCAGCTATCTGTTTTGGATCTGTAGAAAGTATTACTAGTTTATTGACAACTATTCTTCGTACAGCTACTAAATACAGCAACCACTATGTAGTTTATAAGGATTTTTTCAGATTTCATGTAACAATTACCTTTTGAGATAGGGCAGCATTTATAACCCTTATGTTACAGAAAAGGAAGCTGAGGATCAGAGGTATACTGAAACCAGTAATAGGCTAGTGATTATGGCTCTTCTTTCCGGTTGTGCAACCAGATTTTTGTTTTTTAATTTTTTCCAAACTATCTCTTTCTTTTTTTGCACTGTGGCTCTGAATTCTACATTACCAGACATAAAATCCTAGGAAACCCTAGGGAAATTCCTTTTTCTTTCTTTCTTTTCTTTTTTTTTTTTCTGTCAGTGCATAGGTAAAATCTCTTCATAACAATGGTTTTCGTAAAGTGAAATCCCTCCTACAATGTAGTGGTTAGTCCATGGAAATAGTATTTTGGTGGTCGGTTTTCTTCTTTAAAAATATTTTATTTCATTGTGGTAAGAGCTCTTAAATGATATCTACTCTCTTGACTGATTTTTAAGTATATTATAATACATTATTATTATATATGGGCACAATGTTGTTCATCAGATCTCTAGAACTTACTAATCTTGTGTAACTGAAATTTTATGCTTGTTTAAAATAGTCACCCCTAGAAGCAAAGAATAGAATGGTGATTGCAAGGGGCTAGGGAGAGGGGAAAATGGGGAGTTGCTAATCACTGAGTAGTCAGTTTGCTACCGTAAATAAAACTTGGCAATTACTATACCCAAGAATGTGGTTTGCACTTGAGGTAGAAAAGGAAAGAGGAGTGAATTTGATGATTGAGTCCTATTATGAAGCATCAGTTACTTTTCTGTTTCCCAAGATTCCTGCCAGCACCTATAAGACTACCCCCTCAACTCAAAATAGAAAAAAGAATAAATGAAACTTCCAAGACTGTTTCTTCCAAAACACCATCATACACAAATTCTCCGAAAGGTTGGGGGAAGAGAAGTATGGAGGAGAAAGTTTGATTAGGAGTAGTTCATTTGCTAATTAGTTGAAAGCATGGTTTTTTCTCATGAACACAGCTAACCCTATTACATTATTGGCAGGAAGGTCAAGAACTGGGTCCTCTGAATCCCACAAACAGAATCAGAATTAAGTGTGAGCAGACGCTCGTCTTAGAATCACCATTATTTTTTCTCTGAGTTAGTATAGATCTTTCTTTTTATATTCAACAAACCATATTGATTGCCATGTTTGTATTTTTAGTTCTACCTGGTCTGAATGGGCAACTCTAGGTACTCTGGACCTCTATGATGATACTATTCACTGACTCACCAGCCTCCCCTCTCCACCAGGCCTTTCTCCTTTCTTTTTCTTCTTCTTCTTTAATCCCTTTCTTTTTCTTCATCCCTATCTCCTTCACAACTCCTCCATGATTTTCTCAGGGCTGGGCTTCAACATCGTCGGTGGGACAGATCAGCAGTATATCTCCAATGACAGTGGCATCTACGTCAGCCGCATCAAAGAGAATGGGGCTGCGGCCCTGGATGGGCGGCTCCAGGAGGGTGATAAGATCCTTTCGGTGAGAACTGGCTTCGGCCTCCTTCACTGTCCCTTGCTCCCTAGACCCTAGTTCCTACTTCTAGTCCTTTCCTTGGGAAGATTCCTGCCTGCCTTTTTGGATCTGGAACTATCCAAATTATAGAGTTCAATGGGAGGGACCTTGATCAGTCATCTTTTCCATCCCTACCATAATGTATGGAGGATATTACCTCACTTGATAGACAAAGCAAATTAAGTCCAGAATGTGAAGTTACTTACCCAAGTTCAAAAACTGTGAAACAGTGAGAGGTAAGGGACTTGCAGATGGGGGAGGCATTTAAAACCCACAATTTTTGTCATTCTTTCATTATACTTATCACTTGTCTTTTGTTGATTAAAATACTAATATGTATTCCTTTATGCCATAAGCAGTAAAAAAGGAAGGTCTTTTTAGACTCAGAGCCCCTTTTCACCCATTATTAAGGTAAAAAATTAAAATGTAATCTGATTTGGATGTCTGTCCACTGTGCTCCCATTTTACTCTGCTAATGTATGTAGTAGTACCCTTATTACACGGTAACCATTAATTTTATTATTATCTGGAAGTCCCTCAAGGGCAGGGACCAGATCTTTTTTTAACCTTTTACATTCTAGCACAGTACTCAGTGTATATTTAACAAATTACAAATTAAGGCAAACCCAGCAAGGTTGGCCGATCCAGAATATAGAGTATCATGGATGGTAATATCACATTTTAGTCCTTCTCACTGACCCTTTTGCTGCTCTCAGTACAATAAGCTTCTAGACCGTATTTATTAATCCATTGAGATAGAGACAATGATAATCTACCTTTTATCTGAAAGGACATTGAGAAGTTAAGAAGCAGATTATTTCCTATAGCTCCCAGGAGAAGGACATTCTAAAAACATGAAGTCAAATTGAGTGGTACGTTAAGGAAAACTTGAGAGTAGTTTGTTAAAGTAAGATATAGCATGTATTTAGGAACTATGCATTCTAATATTTTGACACAAGAGAGACTTAAAAAGTATCAGGGTTAAAAATAGCAGTATTATTCAAAAAGCTTTGGTTAAAGGTAGGTTATTGAAAAATGAGAATGGTTAGAAGTTTTTGAGCACTATATGCTAAGCAATATGCGGAGAACTTTAAACTGATTTAATATTGTAGTAACCCTATGAGGTGGGTACAATTATTATACCTGTTTTGCAGCTAAGGAAGCTGAGTCTTGGTAAGATCGGGCAGCTTGCCCAAGGTCACACAAGTAGTAAGTGGCAGAGGACTAAAACTTTGGTCTGTCTGAATTTGGAACCTGTACGCTTATACAGTATTCTATACAACCTCCAAAAAGGTAAATGAGGAGCTAGTATTAGTTATCCTAAAGAGAAAGTTACATGGTGAATTAGTAGATTTTATGTATGGTTTTATATAAAAACTGAAATTAATCTTTCTATAAAGGGTAGAATTAGAGAGAAAAAAGACAAACCTCAATGTGAGAGAATTTATTAGATATAAGCTGAGACGAGAAGCCTTTCTTATGTGGGTTATTGTCTCATAGAGAAAAAAATAATTGGAAGACCACTCAAGTTTTTAAAAAGGGTAGGAGATAAATGCCAATGAGGAGAAAAGTAGATGTCTAAAAAGCTCATCTCACTTGACTTTAAAATTTATAGCAAAGAGAATTTCACTTTATCAAAATACAAGAAGTATTACAAAGGTCTATACAAGATATTTACTATTACAAATATATATATAACATAAAAAATGATTTAAGTTTATGTTCTGGCCAATTAAGGTAAAGACATGTGAAAGAAGAGGGGAAAATGCAAGTCAGATATGGAGAGAAATAAAGAAGACAGAAAGAGAATAAGATGAAGCATGTATAAGGAAAAGGCCAGCATATTCTCTCCATTCTATCCAGGTCTATATTCTTTGACTCCAGTTTCCTTTCCAAGAGTTTGCTCCAAAATTATTCTTCTTAGATCCTTAAGAAATAATGCCTCTCTTGCCTCATCATCCTGTTCCCTCTTTATTCTTAAGTGAACTTGTTAGACATTAACCATTAAATGATTGCATCCATGTTTAACTCACTTTATCCCTTTGATATACTTGAGTATTCACTTATTATTGGCTTTGGAGTCTCTCTAAAGTGATGCTAAATTATTTATTAGCTTATATTTCCATTGATTCTTTATGAGCTTTCCTAATCTCACACAGGTTATTTTTCCATGTTATAAAATATGCCCCATATATTTAAAAGATATGTAAATATATCTTTTAACTTTTGTTAGATAATCAAACTATATCCCTTCCTTAGCACATATCCATTTAGATAACTAATAGAAGTAGCATTAAGTGATCTAGATTTCTTGGGCGTTATTATTGACTAATCTTTTTATTTCTCCCTAAATGCCCATGTTTTGTCTTAATTTCAAGTTCTAAAATTAAATAACTGTATGATTTATTATGTAGTTTTCCCTTTCACATCCAACGTGAAATTTAAATTTCTGTGAACACTGGGTGGTTTAAACTAAAAAAAAGAAAGAAATTTCCTTAATGACTGTAAATGATATTTAAGGCCCTGTTACATCTGATAACCATGAAACAAACACAGATGTTACATATAGCAGAACAGACCTGAAATTGAGATGAGGGCTGAGGATTTCTCACTCAGAGTTCATTGTGTTTGATGGTGAGGATGGTATAATATTGTATAGATTATCAGGGAACCTGGGGAAATTTTATTTTTGTGGGGAAAAAAAAAGTAAGCTGTCTAGGTTTCTTACTTTCCCCATGTGTCTGCCTAAATGAAGGGAGGTGGATAGTCAAGAATAGTCAATCCTCAGTGAACTATACATTTTTATGAAGAGTGAGCATCTAGTAAGTCAGTTGCTCTGTGAATGAATTATAGCATAACTGACTTTTTTGGTTGGGCCTGATGATTAATTGGAACTGGATAATTTTTTTTTCTTCTTTCAACTTTGTTAAATAAAAGAGACCCTCTTCCCCAAAACTGCAGTTCATTTCAGGATCTTGGTAAAAAATTAAAATATCCAGAGTGAAATCTGAGGTTATTGCTTCTTAAATTGAGCCCATTCTTCACATCTTATACATCTACATTTATATTATCCTATATTTAGAGCTCCTGTAACTCTTAACATTATCTTGAGATAATGTTAGATTATCCTGAGGCAATTCAAAATTACTAATCATTAAAGAAAACAAATTTTAACTCAGTTTACTCATTACCTAAGGCAAGAAATAGAAAACTAATTTCTAAAGACTGCTAACAGCCATAGTTAAGGCAAAAAAAATTATGTGTTTCCCCTTCAGTTAACTAGAACATTACCAGCCCAGGTCTCTGAACATTTTAGTCAGCAAAATTTTCTAGCATATCACAAATCTGCCGTAGCTTAAGTTCAATAGAACTTACTGTGCCATACATTAAGGAAGCTGAAGTAGCAAGTTTAGTAGTGTTCTAAGATTTCTCAGTAGTTTTTAATCCTAAAAGTGAGGTCCAAGGACCATCTGGCCATCACCCAGGAACTTGTTAGAAATGCAGTCTCAGGAACCTTCCTCAGCTTGCATTATAACCAGATCTGAGTAAGTGTGAATAAAGTTTGAGAAGCACTGCTGAAGGCTACTGTCTTTCAGACCTTTTAAATTATGACCTGTAAAAGGAAGTAGATGTTTACACACACACACTCGAAGCAGATTTTAACAAAATAATAATTCTTCTACATGTGATACTCTCTGATATGTTGTGTTTTCTTCTAAGTTCACTTTCTAAAAATTAAATGCTGGTCTTGACCCACTGAATTGACTTCACTATCTTCTGTAATGGGTCAATAGACCCATATTTGAAAAATCACAACTCCAGTAAATGGAAAATCACAGATGAAATTTGTGGATGCATAGAATATGTATTAAATAGATTAAGTAGGCTGGGTGTGGAGACCAGTTAGAAGGCCATTTCAGGCAGTTTAGGTTGAGCTAACTCAAACTTCAGAATCCCCTGGAGGGCTTGTGAAAGCATAGATTGGTAGGATGGGGCCTAATAATTTTCACTTTTAACAAGTTTCCAGGTTAGTGCTAATGCCGCTAAGTCTGAGACCACACTTTGAGACCCTCTGGTCTCTATTAAGAAAGATGGTGATAAAGAGAATGGATTCTACATGTATTTAGGGGTAAAGCCTACAGAACGTGATGGTTAGTCAATATGACCTGGAATGTGTGAAAATGCTAAGAAGAGGTAGATGTTGGAAAGCAAATTTGGCTCTGGAGCGAGATGACATTGTCAAGAAAGAAAGAATCATGATTTGTTTTATGGGGCTGGTTTACATCAAAAAAGAGTGAGAAATGGTTCTTTGAAATTCCATTTGCATTTTTAAAAGGCCCCTTGTTTGGGAGTTTTATTTTTTTAAAAAAGCAATTAGGGTAACAGTCCTCTTATGTTAGAATACCTTTAGGCTTAACTAGGAGGATCAGAAGGCATAATTGGCATAATTTGCCTATGCCCTGTATAGCACCTTCTTTTGCCCGATGTCACCAAATATCTTTCTTTCCTTAGCAGAAGGAAGCTCAGGTGATGACCAAGATTACACACTGGGTCATTGGTGGATAAAGCTGCTAATAGACTACAGGCCTTTCAGCTTTGTGTAATATTGAGACTATGTCAGTCAGGCTTTGTGTAGTTATGGCTTGCGGGTTATACTCTTACGGGAGATCATGTGACATTTATTATACTCGAGTGTTGTTGAAGCACTATTCAGGTATTATAGGTGTTATAATGATGAGTTGAGATACAATCTCTCCAAGTTATTTACAGTAGAATATAAAGTGATATTATATAAGGTGGAGTTCAGTTCAAGCTTTAAGATGGTTACATAGTATGGAGATTTAAAGACAAATTAATCACATCTAATAGAGTTATCTAGAAAGGCCTTCTCAGTGAAGTGACAATTAACTAAATTGCTTTTTAATTTTTAATGCTACTTCAATATATACAAATGAATAAAAATATTAGTATATAAACACCTTATAATTTTTACAACTCAAAATTTTAATGTATTTAATAGATACAAATAAAACTGCAAAAACAATAAAAATTCAATTTACAGCATTAATGATAGATAGTAATATGTTACAAAAATAAAATCTTTGCTTACAATGTAAATTTCTATAGTTCAGTGTTTTGAAATGAAGGTTTTGGGCTGAGCAGCTTGAGTTTGAATCCTGGCTTTGTTTCTTCCATTCTGTATGCCCACGTACAAGTTGCATAGCCTCTCTAGTTTTATCACCTATAAAATGGGGCTCCTAACTTATAGGAGGACCATTGTGAAGACTAAATAAGTTAATACATGTAAAATGAATAGACAACTCCAGAGATGATAATAAATATGCAGTGGTTGCTGGCAATTATTACTCACTACTATGGCAAAGATGATTTTGAACTCAGTATTCCTGCCATTGAGTGTCGTATTAGTGACTCAGTTCTCCCATTTGCATTCATATTACTATGAAACCTGGCTCCGATATTGAGCTATAACATCTTTGGCATTCATTGACATGAATGCATCATTACCTTATTTGTCTCTGTAGGAAAAGAAATACCTCTTTTTTTTTTTTCTTTTTTTTTTTTTACAATGAGAAATACAGTTTTCCCATGGGTTAGATTAGTTGAATATTGTCACTACAATCAGTGGTCTCACACCTATTCTCTCCCCCAGGAATTAACTAGAAAATTGAGTCACTGAGAATGACGCAATTGAGAAATCCTAAAGTTCTTTCTCTGTGACACATCTACCAAAAAAGAAAAGAAAGACATAAGCAGAATATGGCTTGATAGCACGAAATCAAAGCCCATTAACTAGAAAACCCTGTATTCATTCCTACACTATGGGTAGCAGGACTGACCCAATTTAAGATCAATCTTGAAAGATAAAAAGAATTTTTTAAAAGGGAAAGGTATTCAGATGCTGGATATCGCTTAAGCACAGGTATGAAAGTAAGAATATATGTTTTATATCCCAGGATTATGAGTTATATGATTTAGCTAGAGCAGAAGATATATGAAAGGGAGTAGTGAGAGACTAAACTGAGAAGATAATTTCAAGCTATTTCCTTTAGGACTTCGTGTACCAGAATGAGAAATTAGGCATGCACTCTTTCTTCTCCTGTTCCTATTTTTGTTTTGAGTCATAAAGTGACATAAACAGAATTGTACTTGGGGAAGATTGGTCTGGAGATATAGTATTTGAATAGGTTCGAATGGGGGAGGACTTAAAGGAAAGTAAGTCAGAGAGGTGATTACAGAAGTTCAGCTAAAAATATCCACAGCCTAAAGAGAGAGGTAATAAAAATTAAATAGCATATGAGGAAAGTCATTGTTATTAGACTACGGGATTTGGCAGTATATTGTATGTGAAGATTGACAGAGTGGAGACAGTTTTAAAATATCGAAATTTTAGTCTGAGGACTAAGAAGGAAGTTGGGATAGTCTGGTTTTGTGGGAAATAATAAAGAGACTTTGGATATGTTGAATTAGGATATAGCAGAATATTCAAGTACAGGCAACCAGGAGGAAATTGGCAAATCCAGAAGTAGGGATAAAAATTTGAGGGTTGTTTTGCAGACTACAGTTGAAATTGTGAAAGATCACATGGGAGAAAAGCTAAAGAGGACAAAGGACAACTGCCATTAAGGAATATTTACTTACCTTAAGAAAGAAGTAAAAAGGAATCGGGAAAGGAATAGTTCAAGACCTAAGAGGGCTCAGTATTCATAAGCTAAGACAGGAGAGAACTGCAGAAGGGAGGAGGTGGTCTGAAGACTGAAAAAGGGCTATAGGATCTGGCGATTGGAATTCACTGCTGTCCTGCGGGACAGCATGTTCTTCTCTCTCATTTCATATATTATGAGATTACAAGAGAATGGAGTGAGGGGATGCTGAGGAAGTGGAGGCAGTGCATACAAACAGTTCTTTAAACAAGTTTTGCAATGAAAGAGGAGAGAAGATGAGAAGAAGGTGATAGTGGATTCCAAGAAATATTTGTATTTTCTTTATAGATGAGGATAAATTTAGTTGAGAAGGAGCAGAGGGTGATAATAATTAAGGAATCGAGAGGAGTAAGTGACTAAGTTCTGTATGGAGGCTAGAAGGAATATGATCTAGAGCACTAGTAGATGGTTTAGCCTCATAAAGGAAATAATTCAGACACAAAGAGGAAGTAGCAGTGAGAAGATATCATACTTTTAGGGGGAAGGAAAGAAAATTGAGAAAGTGTTTGTAAGAAGTTCTCAATATTCTCAAGAAAGATAAGGCAGTCTACAGCCATGCCACCCTGAACAAGCCCAATCCTGTCTGATCTTGGAAGCTAAGCAGGATCGGGCCTGGTTAGTACTTGGATGGGAGAACACCTAGGAAGACCAGGTGCTGTAGCGTAAAAAATGAAAAATAAGGGATTGTAAGCTGACAAGGTCCTTGCAATCTGTGAGGTCAACCAAGGGTTGCCTCACCTAAAAATCAAAAAAAAAAAAGAAAGAAAGAAAAGGCAAAGGAATCTGCCTAGAGAGAGATGGAATTGGAATTGGAGTTTGATGGTAGAAAAGGTGTGGAACAGCTACCACTGGGTATTTATAAGAGAGTTCACCAGATGATGGAAGGGTTGTAAGAGTATAGCAGAAGTCATCTAGCATAGATCTGTAGTGGAGTGTGTGACTGTCTGTTTTTCTCTAGGATTATTAAACTCGATAACAAAGAAGGTAAATGCAGTGTGTTGCCCAGTACTGGAAAGATGGCAGAAGATCATGGGGACAAGGAATTTTTATATTTTACCAAGTGCTTTGTTGAAATAACAACAGGAACTCCTAGATAGGTAAGGATGCAAGTAAAATCTGAAAAGGTTAAAGGCATTGATGAGGATAAAGAGGCTCCTCAGGAGAGGAATAAGAAGTGTGAGGGGAGTAGAAATTATGGTCAGTTTTTAAGAGTCTGAGATATTGAAGTTGAACCAAGCCTAATATTGAAGTCCAAGGCTTATGGTAGTTGGTGACTAACAGAATAGAGCTAGAAACTATTAATTTGGGAAGGTAGACAGTCTACAAGGCCACAGTGTTGTTAAATTAATTCACCAAGGATACTGGCAGGAGATAGAGTGGAGGGGCTATTATGAACCTCTAGGAGAAGGAAGACTGTGGCAAGGAAGGTGAGAGGGTTGAATAAGTCAACAGCTCGAGTTTCAGCTGAGCAGGGAATAATGAGCCATGGTGGAGGAATAGTGCAGAAGGAACAGTAAAATGCAGGCCACTTTGATCTTCCTTCTGGTATTTAAAAACCCTAACCCTAGCTCCTACATTTATTATGCCTTTTGGTAAATTACCTAAACTTGCTAAGCTTCAGTTTCTTCATCTGTGAAAACAAGATGATAATGTCTACCTCATAGGATTATTGTGAAAATTAAATTAGATAGTTCCTAATGTAAAACACATAGCACAGACCTACCAAATAAATAGATGTTCTTGCTGCTATCGTTGCTGATGACATTGACATGTATAAAAGATATGTAGATCTGGCATAAAGTGGGCTATGCTCTGTCACTGAGTGCCGTATAGGATAGATATCACTTGTGGCCAGTGTCAGCCCTGGCACTAAAAAAGTGTTAATACCAATAGTCCTTCACATCTCTCACCTCTAAATAGTAGGACTGACCTACACTGAAACATTTTTTTAGGAGTTTGTATTATCACAGGAATATGGTTTTTAGTAAACTCAAGGAGGATAGGAGAATCCATGGAATCAAGGGCAATTGTTCATAATAGAACAACAATGATAGAATGGGATAATAGATTTGTACCACATCGAAATAAATAGTGGGAGAGTTTCATAGTTATATTTCTAGAGTTGTAGCTGGCAATACCATGAATTAGGAATAAACTTAGACCATGTTATCCATCAGGAGCCAGGCCGATGCTCATGGAAGACATATAAATACAAGAACAGACTCCCAAGTGTCAAGATGGGCTATAGGAGCTAAGATGAAAGAGCAACCACTTTTTTGTTTTTCTTAGATGCTCTTCAAATGGCCCATGGAACCTAAGTTCTAGGAGAACATAGCTTTGAAAATGAAAAGTTATACTGAGTTCTGAGTAACTTTACCCATTCTCCTAACCCTTGGGATTTACTCTGTAGGAGTTTGTTTTTTAAATGTTTGGTCACACGAGAGTAAATCTTTGACTTAAGAGAGTTTGTATTCTGCCTCTTACTACTTTTCCTTGCTGTTTTTGACAGGTAAATGGCCAAGACCTAAAGAATCTGCTACACCAGGATGCTGTAGACCTCTTTCGTAATGCAGGCTATGCCGTGTCCCTGAGAGTGCAGCACAGGGTAAGTGTCATTCACAGCCAGAAACCTGGCATCAGGTTTTTGTACTGTTCTGTGAATAAACCCTGTGGTATAATCTTCAGTGATATGTTTGGGTTTTTTTTCTTTCACTCTCTTTTGAAGTGTTTGACTGGCATAGGCAGGGGTCTTCTGGGACTTATACTTATCATCAAAGGGAATTCATAACTGTATTTTTGCAAACCAGGTCCTAGCTTCAAGGTAACGTGCCTTCAAAATAAAGCTTGACAACCAAATTAAAATAAATGGGGAAAAGTTACAACCAGAATCTTTTTTTTTTTTTCCAGTATGGAAGGAAACATGTTGCCGTTCAACATTCTTACTTATAAAACTCTAAGTACAAAGGTGGGTTTTCTCATACCCACTCACTATGTGTTTTTCCTTATCACTGCCATGAACCTTTTACTTATCAACTTGGTGACTTTCCTGACCAAAGCTCTAATGCTCAAAGGTGAGCTCCAGGAAAACAGAAATGGAATTCAGAATTCAGTCAAGGCAGCACCTATCCCTATATCCACTTCTTAGTTCCCAGTGTTTTATAATTTGGATGATGGGAAAAGATTCCTGGGTAGACGTAATTCTTCCCATAGGAAGGATTTTGGAACGTGTTTGCAAAACAGGTTCAATGTGCCTTTAAAGTTATTCCCTCTTAAATTGATGCTTGGATGTGATTTCTTTATGCTTATTTACCTGTTCCCTACAGGTTTCACCTTTAGCTGTGTCTAGTACTACAAAATAAGAGATGAAGGACATGACCCCATCTTAGGAGGGAGTGTGTGCCTTTTGAGATATGGAAAGTATTTCTAAATAATGGCATTACCTGGGTGCAGTTTATGCTTAGATAACAGATAATTTAAATAACATTGTCCATACCTGCTTTTATTGCACTCCAATGACTGATGATCTTTCTAAGTCAACATTTTTAGGAAGATGGATGTCCCCAACTCTGCCTAATAACTTCCAGGTTTCCTATAGGATCAATAAGCTTTATCACATATCTTCATATTCCTGATATGATACACATAGAGCTTGGTGGAGGCAGTACAAAAACAGAAGGAGGTTATCTGACTTGCTCTCAGGGGTCTCTTTTTAGATCAGTAGCACATCAAGGTTAAATGCCTCCGCATCAAACTTATTTTATTTCTAAAGAATCGATGACACTGATGTTGTCAATTGAGGACAAACAGTGAAGACACCTACTGCTAGATAGTTCTTGTGTTTGCAGCTTTGGGTAATCTAGAGACTGTACACCCAGATAATGTGTCAACCAAACATTTCAGTTTTAAACACACATTGATCACTAGAGTTCACATTTTTCTTTCCTTTCCAGTTACAGGTGCAGAATGGGCCTATCGGACATCGAGGTGAAGGAGAGCCAAGTGGTATTCCCATAGCTATGGTCCTGGTGCCAGTTTTTGCCCTCAGCATGGTAGCAGCTTGGGTCTTCATGAGATACCGGCAACAATTTTGAAAAGCTTGCTTTTCCTCTAGTGCGCCCAGTGGAGATACATTTCTTCCTTTCTCTCACTTTCCTCCCCTGCCATTTCCCATATCTTTCCCCCTCTCTGCGTAGGTAACACATGATTTAAAGAGACTGCTTCCCAGCCAGAACCTTGCTCTTCAAAGTCTCCAAGTCTTCGTATTCTTATGGGAGAGTAAAGGCATTGTTTGAAGGAAAGCTGAAGAAAAGATTCAGCACAAATGACGAGTTACATATCTTACTATGACTGCCAATAGAAATTCAGCTACAACCCAAAGAGGGAAAGGTCCAGTCTTCCCATCACCTTGGGTGATACCTATTTCTTAGCTGGCATACCTCAAAGGCCAGCTGTGTAATATAAGAGGAAGAGAGGATTTTTCTTTTTAATGATCTTCCTTGGGAAGTTTTCGTGGCCTTTATTTACTTTCTGACTACATACTTGGGTGCCTATATCAAACAAAAGATAATGAAGAGAGCATTTTCATGTTTTAAAACACACACACACACACATACATATGTACGTTTATATGCATATATGATAGTATAATAGTAATGCCATATGGAGAATTAAAGAGGTAGGAAGCTACTCTGGTTTCTAGGTTTCCGATGTAAGCAATGATCTTAATTGAAGAATTTCATATACAGTGGGAGTGAGAGAGTGAGTCTTATGGGACACCCAATCTAAATAATTTTTTAAAAAAAGAAAAGGAAAAAACTGAAGCAACTAATTGAAAATCTTAGAAATCTTATTTCTTTTCAAAATAACTAAGGTGAAATTGAGGTAAAAATGCCATAATCCTGCTTTGCGCAAGTCAATCTGTTCGAAAACAGATTTTAAGATAAATTTTACCACTCTCTGGTCTACCTTAGTGACTTTTTTGATACCTCATAGTCCTGTTAAAGGATCAGCTGGAATGATTGTGGTCAGAGCTGTAGTGATGGGGCCAAACCAACCCAGTGGAAGAAAAACTCAAAAGAAAAAGGATAGTGCCTCCAAGGTGGCACCTGAGCCCTTTCAGACTATCCACCAGTCTTTTTGGTTTCTAGTAACAGGCAAAATTTACGAGAAGGAACTGCTTCCTGTCACAATGGGCAGGAAACAGCTTTGTTTTTGATTCAGTTAAGTTTAGAGAGTTTGGATTGCTAGTCTTTTAGAAAGCCTCTACACACTGGTTATGGCTTTTAGTGAATAAACCATTTTGCAGGGATGGGGAAAAAAAGAGTTTCGTTTTTTCAGGGGGTAAGGAAGTCTGGTGGATGTTTCTTAGGGAAACCTTGAGAAAAGGATATAAGTGAATAGATGCTAGGGAATACTAAGGTTATTAATGAGGTAAGAACCATCATGTTCATGTGGTATTGAAGGTTGATTTTAAAGCACTAAAGAGGACTAAACCAAGGCTAATTTTCTGGCTTTAAGAAAATCATTAAAAAAAAAAAAAAATCATTTCCATCCTACAAAGATACTGATTAGACTATAGGCCTTATATAATCTTGACAGCAAGAGTGCGAGCATTTTCCCTCAGGCAACCAGTTGTGTCTGATTTTTAGCATGGATGATCTAGTATTTTACAAATGTTGATTGGACATCAGCTTTGTTAAGATACTTTTACAAAGAAGTGAAACACGTATAGCCTTCACCCCAAAGGGTTTTTTTGGGGGGAGTTCCAGTTGGGAAGAGAACACCTATACGTATAAAAATGGAATTAGCTATATAGGCAGGGCAATGTAAGTTGGTGTCGAATTTATATTGCAGACAGCAAAAGGGAACACAAACAGTTACTGAGAATTGAGACAATTGAGAAAGTTCCATGGAAGAAGGGGACAAGTTAAGGACTCTTGAGCTCACAGTGTAGTTAGGAGAATTCATAAATAAGTTAAAAGTATATGATCAGGTTAGGTAAAAGCTGAAAACAAAAATAAATGAAACTATTGAGAACACGATGCAGTAACAAAGATGTGCAGACAACCATCACTTTCTTTTAGGAATTCAGAAAAAGAAAGCTGTTACATAATGACTTGAGGCCAGAGTGTAAAGGGAAGCCTTTTAAAAATAAAAACCCCAGTAAGATCTTGCCTCTGGGTTAACTATTCATATAGGGAGAAATTTGCTTTGAACAATCCCGATGTGATTTAGGCCGCACCTTTGAGACTCACTTAGACAATTGCACTTGTAGGTTTCACAGAGAAACACTGACAAGTATTCCAGTTCTCACTTCAACCCACCCCACTTTGAAGACACAACCTCTGATGCCTTCCCTGTATCTGGAGGAATGCGCGACAGCTTCTGCAGTGGGCCTGCTTCCTCCCAGGATTCATCTCAGGGCTGGGCTGGACATTAATACCTGAGAGGACCCGAGACATACAAAGTGAAACAAAACAGCAAACAGGAAGGAAAGCGAGTTTATTTGTAGGTATGTGTACACTAAAAGAACACCCATCCCATCGTTGGTGGGAGCTTTGCTTTGGTTGATAATAGGAATTCTGATGCACTTTAATAATTTAGGTTTTCTTTGTAATTAAATAGCATTTAAAGATCCATATACCAAAGTTTTAGGCAGATACGCTATTCAATTATTTCTGTTTCTGTAGAAGACTTTGATAAGGTATCAGAGTCCATTATAGATCATTTAAAAATTCATGCTCTTTATAAATTCAATCTAATGTTGCTGTCACTTTATAGGTTGTATCTAATATTCCTACCACCTGAATTACTATGTTCAAAAATTTTTTAAATGAAAGTATTTTTAAGACCATATTCTTAAAACACTTCTCTACGTTTATCATCGTGTATTATACATTTAATTCTAAAAAGACATTGTTTGCTTCAATTCTCTTTTCTTGCCAAGTTTTAATCTGTGCTATTGATTTAACTTAATCACACCATCTAGCCACATAATGGAAAAGAGAAATTAACATTTGTTACTGCATTCTGTGCCAGGTACTGTACTAAACCTTAATTGGTAACACTATTTGTTCATGCTTCACAACTCTGAGATCTAAGTATTGTTATAAAGACACTAAAGAAAAGAGAATAAAATTATTTTCCTAAGATTGCATAGGTGGTAATAATAGAATCAGGATTTAAACTCAGGACTTCACATGTACCCATCAATGTTATTTCCTCATTGCCAGTGGTTCTCAAAGTGAGGTCTCTGGACAAAAGCATCAGCATTACCTGAGAACTTGCTAGAAAAGCAAATTCTTGGGCTTTACCCCAGGCCTACTGAATCAAATTTGAATAGGGCACCCAACAATCTGTGTCTTAATAATCCCTCCAGGTGACTGATTGAGCTAAAGTTTGAGAATCACTGCTCTATGCCAATAATTGTCTCCTTTTTCTCTGGTTGGAATTACCCAGGGTGCTTATAAAAATTCTGATGCCCAGTCTGTGCCTAGATTAATTTAATACAGTTTCTGGCGGGTAAGACTCAGGCACCAATAAAATAAAGTTCGTCAGGTGATTCCAGTGTGCAGTGTCAGTAAAAAATGCTCTATGGCATTTAAACCTAGACGCTATTTAAGTTACATACAGGCATTGCTCCAGCCAAGAATGAGAATTTCACTTCGGACTTCTTTGAGCCCAGCTCTCCATAAGTTTCTGCCCCAAGAACAGATGTAGAATAAGAAGTGGAACATTCTTTGGCCTCTGATTTGCTAAGGACTGACCAACTTCCAGCAAAATGTATTAGTGAGTGTTGCAGGTTATGCATCTGTTAAATTGGAACCAAATTGTAGGATGTTGGAGCAAAAAGGGAAGCAGAAAGATTCTAGGATGAAAACATCATCCTAGAAATGAGAAAATCAAGGCTCAGAGAGGTGAGCTAATAGCCCAGTTTAAAGAGTTTGTTGCAGAGACGGTCTTTCTGTCTCATATTTACGTCTGTGAATGTATACACTACATGAACATATGTGAAACTATTTCTTTTATCTCAATCCACTTCCATCTTCTCTCTTTGGACCATAATAAGTAAAGACCAGAAACACTGATTGACAATTTAAGGGTATTTCAAGCATCGTGCAAAATTAGGGGATGCCACAGAATAATAATCTGAGAAAGACCTAACATCAAGTTCAATTAAATGAGCTTTCCTGAGATTACTTCCAATAGTTGTAGAGAAGTATGTTATTTGATGTTGGACATTGTTTTTATTGTGTAAATAAGCAACTTAAGGTATATTTAAAGAAATGGAACAACATAAGGAACTTAAGCTGTCAAGTATGTAAGGGAGTGGAGTTTATATAATTTCAAATGGAGCCAATAAAGATTTTATTCTAGTCAACTTTTGTCAAAATTTATCTTTGGACAGGCAAGGGTTTTTTCTTCAAAAAATGAGTGTCTACTAGATGCTAGGTATTGAAGATACAAAGATAAATAAGATACAACTACTGTAAATTTAAATAGCTCATTATCAGAAAGTGGCAGAGTATTTGTTGGTGATCTTGATGTTAAAGTACTTTTCTAACATCACCTAGAAATAGAAGATTGAGTTATGAAGCACTCTCCCTCACCTATAATAAGTTTAGAGTTGGTTACTAATCTTGGGGTAAGCCCCTTTGCTATTTCTCTTATCTGCAAATCTTTGAGACCAGCACTCACATTCAAAAGGGCGATTGTGATCAAAAGGAAGACAATTTTAAGGAATTCTTATCAGAACCAGGTTCTTAATTGCCATATACTCTCTCCTGATGTTGATATTTATATATAGACAAAGCACTTGAGCTGCTTACTTGTTGCACTTAATGATACTGTAATAACATTATAAGAAAGCATGGCTGTGTCTAAACCAAATTGTAGCAAACACTATGTCTTGTTTCTAAATGTCCTTCACTGTTCATGTTCTCCTTTTCGCACAGGGGAAAGGGAGAGAGTGAAGTATGTTTTTAAATGCAAGTCACTATCAATTACAAAAGAACTTTGTATTTACTATAATTAAATTTGTTGATCAGTCACAGGAACTGGGATGATCCTTATTTTGCAGATTTGCAAATGGAATCACAGAATTGAATCCCACTTTAATTCTGTCTTTGCAGTTCTGATTTGAATATGAATTTTTATTCCTGGATATATGTGCATTTTACCCCCAGACCATGTTAGTTTTTATAAGCTTATTTTCCTTATGTACCTTATTTTATTTTGCTTCCTTTTTGCTTTGATTCTAAACAGCCTGGATTTTAACAGCATTCAGTTTCTCGGGTCAAATAGATGCCCTATAGCAACTTGGAAGATACATGGGCATAAAACTGTATCCTGTAGGGAATATCACTACAGATTAAATATGTTAATGAGACCATCAAAGTAGATGACCGTCTCCTAAGGTTTTCTATTTGATACCACATACAGCAAATGAGATAACAGTGTATCTCACGGTTCCAAGCTCAGTATTGGCGTTGAATAAAAACTTGTTGCATTTGTCAATGAATCTTCACAATTTTTCTCCACCTTATTTTGAAGATTGTTGAATAAATTTTTCTTGTCAACTTCTTAGAGTAGTACCTCTGAGAACAATGGAAAGAGGAAAGAAATCTGATCAATTTGAGGCTTAGCTTTGACAGAGATACGGAGATAAGGATAAGAGCACTATCATACTACTTTACTAGTACTAATTGGCTAACAGTTACATTGATTGAGCTCATCAATATTTCAGCTACTGTTCTAAGCATGTGTTCATTTAAGCCTCACAACAGCTGCTGTCTTTATCCCCATTTTACAGATGAGCTAAGCTAAGTGAGATGAGAGAGATGAAGTAATTTGCCCGTTACACAGCTATTAAATGCCAGAGTTGGGATTTTTAACCCAGGTAGTCTAGCTCCAGAATCTGCATGCATAACGATCACACTATACTGTCCCTATTCTCCACTGTGCCAGGCACTACATTGGTGCACCCTTTTGTATAACTAATACCAACAAATTTTCACATATGCAAGGCAGTATGAATAATCCCATTTTTATAGATAAGGTAACTCAAGGTTTAAAGAGGTGAATAACTTCTTCAAGATACATAGCTAGTTAGTTCTAGACCTGGAAATTTACTTCAAGCCAATGAGGAGTCCACCATTTCAGAAAATTAAAGTTTATAATACCGAATTTGGTTCAACCTTGCTAGCCCAGCCTTCCATTATGGATAATAGGGAACTGACTACACTAGCTACAACAATAGCAGTAGCAGTACCATTCTATATTTATACACAAAGTTGGAAAGCAGTTGCCAACCTTTAATATCTTACTTGTGGCCCCTTCATCCCCCAAAGCTTTACAAGATACATAGAAGGCAGAAATGGATTTGTGCCACATGATAGACCTGTCAAAACTGAATGTTGACCTTTTGCCAAAGTTACCGTGCATATAGCTGACTTTGATATGAAAAGAAAAGGCAGTTTACATTGGTCATCATTGCTCTGTCACACAGCTTCAGCAAAGTTCAGATCTGGAGTCAAAAGTGCCAGTCTGTAACTGTAGTGTATACAAAATGGCCATTTTCTCCCTGGTGGCCAAAGAAAAATATGTTAGTTATCAATTATATAATAAGCCACTGTAAAACTTAGTGGCTTAAAACAATAATATTTTAATAATTTTTAAAAAGATCCCATGGATTGACTCATTCTCCTGATATCACCCGGGGTCACATGCATCTGCATTCATGTGATGGCAAAACGGGTATGTAGTCCTTAGATGGCCTCTCTTACCTGTCTGGAAGTTAGTGCTGGTTATTGGCAAGGGTGCTTTTGTTCTCCACATGGCCTCTCATCTTCTGGTGGATTAAACTGGACATTTCACGGCATGGAGGAGGTGGGGCTCTTAGTAAAGTGTTTCTTAAGCACTGATCAAACCTTTGCTTTGGTCACATTCGCTGATGTCTTACCAGTCAGACAAAGTCATGGCCAACCCCAGAGTCATTTTGGAAGGGCACCTGAACTCCACCCCTTGATTGGAGTAGCACAAAGAATGTATGGTTATTCTTAATCTGTCACAGAAAGAAACCAGAATTTAAACAGAAAAGACCAGGGTGCAGCAAACTTTTTTTGGGAAAGGACCAGATAGTAAATATTTTAGGTTTTACAGGCCTTGGTTCTTTGCAGTTTTAATAGACTATAAGCAAAAGTGTGGTTGTGTTCCAGTAAAATATTATTTACAAAAACAAGAGGCTCTGCTGGACTGTAGTGTGAGGACCACTAACAAAGAATATTGCAGGTTGAAATGGGACTTTTGGGAGTAAAATTGAGAGGAGAAAACTCCCAAATGTTGATCTCCTTGAGTCTGAGATTGAAGAGCATTGACACATTTCCTAGGAATGGTTTAAAAAAAAAAAAAAACCTCACAAAAACAACAACAAAAAACAACAAAAAATGTATCCTCCATGAAAGAGAAGCCAGAAAAAGGCCAACAAAAATTTCCCCTGGTGCAATTTTGGAAATGAGGTGAAGAGTGATCACTGTCAGACTCGACGGAGCACCCATCATGGCCAGGACACCACCCAAAATTCAAGGATGCACATAAAAATACTAGTGATATTAAATACTCTCCAGGCATGTAGTAAAAATCACATAATGCTGAATAAACTTATTAGGTTAAAATTATTTCCCCATTTTAAAGATAGAAAAGTAGAACTTTAGAGATGTAAAATTATTCTTTCTAGTTAATGCCACTAGGTTTTGATAGTCAAGATTTGAAGCCAGAAGCAGGACTTTTTCCTGTGTTCATACTCCACTACATTGCCCTTGCTTTTTGAGTTTAAGAGGAAAATAATGTATGTAGAAGAAAACATTCATGGAAAAATTATTTGCTGTTAGTCACACAAAAATCATGTTTATTCAGGCGCAGATAGAAGATAGGGAATAAGAAAGGATTGGTAGTTTTCTCCTACTTATTTTAAATACTGTGTATTAATAGAACACTTGAGGTATAGTAAGGGTGAAAAGATCAGGAGACAACTGACATTGAAAAGATATTTTGTCACTCACAGTTCCCAAGAGAAAGGGACACACCATGCTATGGGGCACAGGGAAACGCTGGCATTGGTCACAAGGCAGAGGGAGAGGGAGAAACTGTGGATAGAAGCCTTTATTGTGGTTACCGTGGAAAGGAACAGGCAAGGTCAGGTAACCAGGATTAGGATTGGCTAGTTTGAATAATGTCGGTGGTCTCTGTGGCATAAGGGCTGTCCCTAGTTGCCAGGTACCTGGCCTTGGTGGTGGTTAGGGCATGTGGATAATGACCCTGAGAGTGAGAGCTCATTAAAGGAGTGTGGGCTCTGGATTGGTTGGTCTGTATGTGAAAAGTGTGCTCATGACAGACTTATTTACTATCTCTAAAAATTGGTTGATCCTGGGAGGGTCAGATGTCAGAGCATCAAAATATATAAAATAAAAGACATAGTGAATATACTATTACTACTATTATAGTGGCTTCTCTGTCCCTCTGATTTCTACCTTTACTCCCAAACCTACAGAAATGACTGAGATAGCTGAAGGTAATCTGAACTATTTAGAAAACAGCCAAGGAAAAGAAAGGAAGCAAAACAATAAAAAATTTTAAAGCCCCAAGCAACCAAAATAGATACCATGACATTCATACACAAAAGTTGTTAATTTTATTTTATATACCTTTCTAACAAGTTTGATTGGCTGCTTTTCTAACCTGTAATGAATTACCAGTTAAAATAGTAGCTAGCTTTACTGCACGATAGGGTCTGGCAATGTACCTGCCAGGGCCCCAAGCGGTTAATGGGGAGCAATTCTTCCATATCACAACTTTCATCCATCCTCAACCACAGTGGAATTGCACTTCAAACTCTGTCCATGATGTCAGTGGTTAATAAGGAACCACTACAGAAATAAAAGTTTTAAGCCAACTTTTCTGGACAGCAATTATTATCTAAAGCAAGGGCTATTCGTTTGTCTCCGGCCACATCAAATGACCTCGGGTACCCAGTAGTCCTTGGGTCTATTAACTTCAATGACATGTTGCTTTAAGCGTTTTATTCTGTTTCCCACTATTCTCAATCTCTCACATTGTTCCCTGAATCTTAGTCCAAACCACCATCCAATTTCTCTTGGACTACTACATTAGCTTCCTAACTATTCTCTTTACTATCCACTACTGAGTCTCCCTCCAATTTGTCCTCTATAGGCTAGAGATCCTGGTAAAACAGAATCAGTGATGTCACCCCTCTGCTTAAAAATCCCCCAAAGTTTCTCATTGCCTTTCAGATTCAGTCCAAAATACTTGGCATAACCTGTAAGGGACCATATGATATGCTTCCTGCCTACTTCTGCAAACTCATTACACTCCACACTCCACCCTTTCTCTCTGATCCCTCTCCTCCCCAGCCTTTCACTTAGAAATGCCAGACTCTATCTCAGTGTCTTCCTACAGACTTTAAAGTTTGTGTGTTCTACATCCCCTACCCTGACTTGTTTTCTGGATAAATTCTCAACTTGGTGTAATTTCCTTAGAAGCTTTATTTTCAAGCTTATTTAGTCCTGAGGGCACCCTGGACTCAGTTTCCCTAGATACAGTCTCCACATCCCTTTCCCGGTCACAATGCACTTCAGGTACTTCCTCCCAATAGCCCAATCTGCCTCTCACAAAACAATCCTCAAACTAATCCTTTAGCTTCTCCATCCATAAATTCACCCTAATACCAACTACGTTCACATTTACTTTTGTTTTCAAAATTGCTTCTGTCTCTCTCTCTCTCTCTCTCTCTCTCTTCTCTCTCTCTCTCTCTCTCTCTCTCTCATTACTGCTCTAGATTCCAATCCTTTCCCTTGGGTTTCTAAATTTCTCTCTGGGGCTACACAGAAAGTGATCATTTTTTGTTTGTTTGTTTGAGAAATATTTAACATATATAGACAGTGAAGAACTTTGTGCCTAGAGAAGACATACAGGACAAGACGTAAGAACTAAAATGCTTCCAGAAACCTAAAAACAACTGGCAAAGGAGATTGATAATAACTCTGTGTTCACACAGAAAATCAGAGGGAAAAGGCCCTTGAATTCATGAAATTGTAAATTCCTTTACCAGTAAAAGCACCTATATAATGATCTCCAATAAAATCTTAGTGGAGGAGTAATCAAATTTTGCATGAGATTGGGGGTCTAGGAAACAAGTGTATTTTAATCTGGCTCTAGGGATGCTGGTGTACAAATTTAAGGAAATTTAACAGCATCACTACAAGTGTCATTTAATGATTGTCTTGGCCAGAACAAAGTGAATGACAGATTGCTGAGATAAGAAAAGTGTAAAAAGCTTTTCTTTCTCTGAGTATTTTAGGGGGTCAGGAAATTTATTTTAGACTTTAAATAAATATGGCTTTTCTGTGGATGTGCTAAGTAAAGGTTAATTCTTTTAGATAATGAGTGTAAGATCACAAAGTATCTTTCCAAGGGAACTTGTGCTGTGATTGATGTTGAGAAATAAGTAAAATGTATTTTATTTCCACTGTTGTTAAACTTTGCCCAATTTTTCCACCCTGTTTGTTAAAAAGACCAGTTTTTCATTGGATTTTTGAAAGATAGTTATGGTTTGGCTCAATTAAGATGAATATTTCCTTCTGTCACAAGCACTGGGCGTAGTCCTTTTCAATGGTAAATTTCCAATTTCCTTAGTAATTGCTACGTTTGACTTTTAAATCATCATCATTTTGTTTTATCACAAAACCCTGCATTTCTCTAGCTTAGTCAATGTAATAGAATAAAAATTCAAATTTTTATATAATCCTTTTTACTTTCTTATATATGGCTTTGTTTTTAGTGTTGTTCCTAATAAATTGGTTTTTTTCTTAATATATTGATTCTAATAACCAGCTTTTGGTTTTATATTAATCAGCCTTCTGGTTTTTTTTGTTTTCCATTTCTTTTATTTTAGCTTTCGTTTCGACTCATTCCATATACTTTCTTTGGGTTCTTTTGAGGGGGTCTTTTTCTTTTTTTCTAAGTTGAAAATTTATTTTCTGTCATCCTAAGTCATAGGATTTCATATGAAGTTCTTTCCTTTTTAATATATAACTTATAATTTATATTTTTATATCCTTGATTTGGGAGGTATTCAAGATAGTGTTACTAATAGTGTTATAGTAAATCTTGAAATTTCTCATCACAAGGAAAAAATATTTTGTAACTATGTGAGATGATAGATGTTAACTAAACATTGTAGCAATCATTTCACAATATATACATATGTCAAATCATTATGTTGTACACATTAACCTTATACAATGTTGTATGTCAATTATATCTCAATAAAACTGGAAAAACTTTTTTAGTTTGTAAAATAGTGTTACTTGATTTTGAAGTGGTTACTTTAAGAAATAGATTCACTTTTTAGGTGTCAAGTTCTAGTTTTATTGGATGTGTGTGTGTGTGTGTTTTAAAATTAAATTTGTTGGGATAACATTATATAAATTTCAGGTGTACAACTTTATGACATCTGTATACTCTATGGTATGCTCACCATCCGAAATCTAGTCTCCTTCCATCACCATATATTGGACCCCCTTTACCCTCTTCCTCCTCCCCGCCACCTTTCTTCCTCCCTGGTAACCACCATTCTATTTTCTGTGTCTATGATTTTTTTGTTTATTTGTTTTGCTTGCTCGTTTGTTGCTTTTTGGTTTATATACCACATATGAGTTCTTGTCCTTCTCCACCTGACTTATTCCACTTAGCATAATACTCTCAGGATCCATTCATATTGTTGCAAGTGGCAATATTTAATCCTTTTTATGGCTGAGTAGTATTCCATTGTATACATGTACCATATCTTTTGTATTTAATTATCTGTGGAAGGATGCATTATGTTTTGATTTATAGAAAACTTTATATGTACAATGATATTTGACATTTTTTTTAAACCAGTGGTGGACAACAGATGTTACTCAAGTGCTTTAAACAAAACAAAATACACATATAGACAGACCATCTCAAGGTTCTCAAATGCTTATTTGAATGATTGAACCAATGAGAGCCTGAAGATCCGTGTTCATTTAAATCGAATACATGCTTGATCAGAAAGGTTAACAGATTATCAGCAATAGCATTACCTAGAATATAGGTATATTATTTAATCCATTATTAACTACTAGCTGAGTACAGAGCTTTATTGGAGTCAGACCCAGTAAGGTCATGTTTTATATAGTTAAAAGGTAGGAAACGGTCTAGACTTTTAGAATAGTGCCCTTGGCACCCAGGATCTGAAAGAGAATTGAGAAAAATAATTCACTTAACTAACCTGGATGCTGTATGAGTTCTGAAATATCAAAAGCATAAGAATAAGGAGAGAGGCAATGCCAAATACAGATTTTGCATACTTCACAATACATTTTCTAATAAACTCTATGGCCCTATATGATTCTCTGCTCAAAGATTAACTAAACAAACACACAACAAAAAGCAGAAGTCAAACAATCCAAAATAAAATACAAAAGAATCACAACAATAAAGGAGACTATTTGTAAATGATAGCAACCCTGTTTAAAAACCCATCTCTCTAATCCTAAATTCCTCTTGAATTCTCCAAATTCTCCATTTTTCTCTTTCCAATACTGCTACATAATTTTCTCCCAGCACTCCCAACTATATAGTTTGACTTCACTTCTCAGGTTAAGTTCTCCTACCTTTCTTACTGATCTAGTCTGTAGGTTTGCAAGGTGTCTCTTCCCTGAAGAGACTGGGGTGAGGGAAGATTGGAGAAATAAGTGTATGGGAAGTATTAGTAGCCTTGTCCTGATCTCTTCAAAATCTCTGTTGGTTCAGCTTAGGTGATGCTTTTTTTTTTTTTTTTTTTGCATGGGAGGGCAACTCATTTATTTAGCTGTAGAAGCCAAAAGAAAACTCTGTTTCAAATTTAAACAGAAATATTCTTTCCACTCTCCTATTTTCATTTTGCTTATATGTTATTTGGAGAACAATGACTATACACTAACACTGATATGGGGAGGAGGCATGAGAACTACACAAATTGACTAAATATTAAATCGGGTTGTATTCATAGCCTGCTACAAGCTGCTAGACATGGGAGCCTGGCTGATCAACCATACAGCCAGACCACAGGGAACCTACAGGAAGATTCCTACTGAGATTACTACCTACTTCCCATGTCTACTTCTCGTGCTTTCAATGCTGCATGGCCATATCCTGAAAGGAAAAAACAGATATAAAACTGAATACTAGGGGTCTCTCGCATTCTCTTTGAGAGGAAACCACATCTGTCTGTGGAGCATTATTCCTTCTCTAACAAACTTTCCTTTTGTCTCTAACTCTGGCTTATGCTTGAATTCTTTCCTGCAGGAAGTCAAGGCCTCTGTCTCTGTCTCTGTGTAGGACTTGAGTTCCCACTTGGGGATTCGCCATGTCCTGCATCAGAACTATATAATAGCGCTATGTTGCACATATTAGTCAAAAGCTACTGGGACTCACAGCAGGGAATAATTTACATTGCCTGTCCAGTAAGGGAGGCTTCAAGAACCTGGAGTCTCTGAAGCTGCATTTTGAAGATGTGGAAGTTTGTGGAATACTCAGGGAATAATATCTCCTCCAGGAGGGAGTATGGAGTGAATGAGGAGAAGTGGCAGAAAAGGCAGACCAAAGTATTTTTACAAATTGCCTTAAATTCCTTGCTAAGAAAGTTGGAGTGACTATGTAGTACTTGGTAGGTGATGCTATCTGTGAATTACCTTTTGCGTGCCCATTAGATTGCCAGCTTAAAGAGTGGGGGGGGGGGGGGGTCATATCTTTTCATCTCTTGTGTTTCTGGAGCATTCTAATTACCCACAAAAAAGGTGTGCTGAGTGAGTGAAAAATCAACATTCATAAAAGACTGAAGATTACAGACTATTTCACAGTAAAAGCATTAACATTAAAGGTTCAGTGACAGCAAGACGTTACTCTGATTACCATTCAACCTAGCCTTTCGTGGCGATTTATTTCTAAAAAATCTTTATTAATCTGGTAAACTCTCCGTCCCACGAATAGCCATAGAGGATAGCTCCACCCGCCCCGCGGCCCCCTTAGCTGACTTGAGCAGTCAGGGGTGTTCTAACAAGATGTTGGTCAAGCCCCAGAACATGGGAGGTACCACACCATTTGACGATGAGTATCAGTATGATTTAAATCCCTAAGTTTCTATTGCAAGCCAGCCTGCGGGAACCAAAGCTCCGACACGCGAATTTCCGAACGGAGGAGCGAGTATGTTACGATGGATCGATTGGTTTTGCCTGGCGGAGGCCTATCAGGAGCGGACCATGCTGCCGAAGGCTAAGGAAAGGAGCTGAGTCTAAGACGTCCTTGGTCTGGGAGGGAGCTTGAGCCGCTGAGATTCGCGAGGCCGCGCCGGGCCTGTTTGGCGGGGCGTCTCAGCGGATCTGAGAGTTCAGTCATGTTTATACACGGGGTGACGCGCACGTTGCGCAAGAACAAGACCCTTCGCTACGGAGTCCCCATGTTGGTGAGTGCATTGAGGAAAAAGGTGTGGGGGCGGGATTGCGGAAGAGGTTGGACCTCAAGTTCGGCTGGTTGGATATGTAAGGCCCGGACGGCAACCTGGGCTAGGAAGGAGCTGGCGATAGGCTGAGAGCTTTTAGGCTGTTTTAGTCTCCAGCCATTAGTGGGTTCTCGAGGGTCCCCGATTACCATCCCTGCTGCTTCAGAGAGTGATGTCAGAACCAGATTTTAACCCAAGTGTGGATGATTACCAAGCTAGCTCCCCCCATCCTCTTCCCCTACAGCTTGAAGATACTCTGGATCGTTGGAACTAGATGTATTTACTTAATTTAACTGTACATTTTCGGTCATCTCCATACTTTAGCTTCCTAGTTTGTGAACTGGCTCAGTTCTTCCAGGGTCGTTGTCGAGTTAAATAAAACCTTGTGAATTGAGTGTTTAGCACAGCTCCTGCCACACTGTAGCAGCCTTTCAGAGAGGTCGATGTATTATAGTTTATATTTTTAAAGCACTCAGGAAATTACATGTTAGTCTCTACCAGAAACCCAGGACAAAGACCAAATGATTTTTAAAATGTGATTGTAACATGTGATTGTAACTTCTATGATGGCAGTAGCCCGGAATAGCGATGATAGTGGCCTGGACTACAGTATTAACTACAGTATTAGAAGAGGATATAGTTAAAAATTTCAGATTCAAGAAATATTTTGAAAGTAGAGGGGTTTTGTTTTGTTTTTTGTTTTTTGTTTTTTGTTTTTTTTTTTTGGTTAAATGTTAATTTGTGTATACCTTTCAAGTGGAGATGTTAAATAGGAAAGCAGATCTTCAGTGGGATATTTCCCATTGAAAATGTGCATTTGGAGGTTGTTAGGTTATAGAGGCCATATCTAAATAAGTGGGCATCACCAAGGGTCTCAGTGTTGGTTGTAAATAGGAGGAAGAAGTTTGAAGATAGTCTTTTGAGGGTACTCCATCATTTCGAGGTTGAAAAGGTGAGAAAGAATGGATAGAGGGAAACTGAAGAGTTAGGAAAACCAGGAGTGTATCTTTTTATTGAAAGTAAGAGACAAGTTATTTCACTTTACGAAGAATTCTTACACATTGACATTGCAAGTATTAATTGCTTATATGTAACAGATATTTACCTGATTTATTGTCTTTAGATTTTATGTTGTTTTTACTTCATTTATTTGTTGGGATAGATGTTTTAAATCTTATGTTGTCAGATTTATTGGGTTTTGAAATTCATACCCTCAAGGTTTTGTAACTTCAAAGTGTGTCAACTTCATAATTATAAATTTTTCTATTTTATAATGTTTTATACCTTTTTGTATTCCTTAATCTGTAATATTAATATATCGATATAAAAAGGAAAGTAGGGATGATACTTAATATTTTTCCATATTGCTGGACTTTTGCAGCTTTAGGATGAAGAATTAAAGCCCATTAGGTTATTGGAGGAGATGATAAAGCAGCAATGACAATTTGAGGGCTCTTTTAAGATTTACCACATCCTTAGAAGTATATTCACGAGATTATTTTATCACTTGATAATAAAATGAAGAAAAATGCTCTTCAATAGGCTTATTTTGTAAAATCATAAAATTGAAAGAATTTTGGTCATGAAGAAACAAGGCCAGAATTTTATTCCTGGCTTTACTCATTGTAATCATGGACAAGTCATTTAGTTGACTTTTATTTTCTCATCTATTAAATTGATTTTTTTCCCCTTAGTTCATAGATCTTTTGTAAGAATCAACTAATATAAAGCTTGTGATGATGTTATTTAAAGCATAAGGTCAAATACAGGTATGAGGTACTGATTTTGGTATTTGGTAATGTACTAAAATGTTTCCCAGTGACAGTATATATACTGCATCTACTCTGAAAGATGATGGTAACCAGTAACAATAATCTATATAGGATTTTGTATTATCTGTCACTGTTGGCATTTAGATAAATAATCTATAGGTAGACTGAATTCTCCCCTTCTGTTTTAATTTTTTTTCTTTCTTTGTTTCAGTTGTTGATTGTTGGAGGTTCTTTTGGTCTTCGTGAGTTTTCACAAATCCGTTATGATGCTGTGAAGACTAAAGTAAGAACTGTAATTGGAGTTTGACGTGTGTCTGTATATATGCATGTTCTGGTTTAGGAGATGTGTATACTCAGTATACTAAGCAGTATGAGTATTCTTTTGTTTTTCAAGGCTGATGTATGATCTTTAGGCTCTTAACATTAACAATCACATGAAAGTGAAACATGAAATGTAAAGAATTTAGTGATCTTTCTCATTCACTAGAAAATTTTCAATATCGTTAGCTTTCTGCTGCAACATATGCTCTGGTCTGGTTGTTTCTGGGATTTAGAGAAGACTAAAAAACATGAGACAAAAATTTCACTTTATTTTGTTACTTCAATTATAAGTTAGTATTTCATATTAAATCAGTGATTTTATAAAGTGCTGTTCATCTTTAGTAACTAATATGAAAAGAAAGGAAAATTATTTTTCATTATAAATAGTGGTACCTATCTTTTAGGTATCCTTTTTATAAGTATGCCTTTGTGGTGAGACTGTACTGATTCATATGTTAGAACCTACAGGTAAAGACAAATATATATATTTGTCTTTATTTTACAGGCAAGGAAACCAAGGCTCAGAGAGCTTAAGTAACTTGCCTAAGGTCACATGGCTATTTAGGGGTAGAGCTAGTGTTTTCACCCTATAGATTATACAATTACTTCAAATTCAGGCCAGACGTTACATAAGAACTTTGGTTAATCTCATTCATAAGTATGTAGCTTTGGTTTGTGGCACACATCTACTATTGGAGGTTTTTTCCCTAGGTTTACGTGTGTGTGTGTGTGTGTGTGTGTGTGTGTGTGTGTGTGTGTGTTTCATGAGCAGACCTCTGTAATATAGGTAGAAAAGTAAAAAGTATTAAAGACCTATTCAATTGTCTCAGTTAATTTTGCAGTTTAAGAGAAACATCAAACTCCAGCTAGTCTTAAAGACAGTAGGTATTAGAATAAATATTACATTTTTAAAAAATATGTAGTTTCTATGAGGGACTAGAGCAATCATCAACTGAGTTCAAAAGTTTCTGTTAGCATGCCAATTTTTTTTATTAAGGAATTCTTTCTCTTTTGCTTTAAGATGAAAGTTATAGTAACCTGACTTTTGGAAGTAGGATGACATGTATGTATTTGAAAAATAATTGAGTATTTGTCACGTTTATCATGTGTTAGATCCTACAGGTAAAGATTTAAGAAACTGGTTCTTACAAAGCTTATAGCATAATAGAGTCTGGAAGACACCTAATATAAACGTACCTAAACATATAATATAACAGTGCCCAGTAAAATGTTGTATTAGAATTTTGTATAAAACATTACTAAAATTTCAAGGAGAGGCATAGAGTTTAGACTTGGGAAAGGGGTATGTATCTGAGAAGGTTTCCTAGAAGTATCAACTTTTGAATCAAGGCTTTAAGAATGATTAGGAGGTAAATGGTGGAAACGGTTAATATTTTATAACAAAGAGGGAGTATTAGGCATATGATCATTTTCATTTTAGAAAAATCTCTCTAGCAACAGAGTACAGGGTGGATGGGGATTGTAGGAGCAAGAAAGAAGAGAAGAGATTGTTTCAATAGGTGGTGGAGAGACCTGTTAGAATGCTTTGACAGCAGTATAGCTGAACAATAATAGAATTTGAAATAAACCATTTGCAGTGAAGATAGAGAAAAATAAATGGGTTCCAGAAAAAAGTTTAGCAGTGAATTGATAGTATTTGATGACTAATGTGATGTATATAATGTAAAAATATGAATAAATCTCAGATGACTCGAGGTTTCGGTTTTGAGGATTGGATAAATGGTGGTGGTAATCATTCAGTTAAGGAAAGAGAATGAGGTGATTGGGATAACAGAAGAGGTCTATCGGGTTAAAGTTAAGAGGACTAAGTTGGGTAAAATTGAGAGAATGAGGTTGGTTGAAGTTGAGAGGACAAGGTCAGTTGAATTCATGACAGCAAGTTTAGAGGTCTGGTTGGTAAAGGTCTATGGAAGGAGGCAGAGAGGACAAAGTTCAGGTGTGAAGGATCAGAGGGCAAGACCAACTGAGATTGAGAGGTTCAGGTTGGTTGATGTTGAGAAGTCAAACTCAGGTGAAGTGAAGAGCCAGTGTTTAGGGGAGGTTGAGTTCAGACAGAGTAGAGAGGATGAGATAGACTAAATTTGAGAGGAATCAAGAGGATAAGATTGGTTGAAGTTGATGGGGGTTTTAAGGTTTGAGAGATTGAGATCAGGGCGGGGCAGTCAAGAGGGTGAGATTGCTGAGGTCAAGACTGGGCTTGAGAGAACAAATTTGGTTGAGAAGGAGCGAGAGAAGATTAGTTCAGTTGAGAAGTTTTGAGAAGGGTGGAGAAAGATGGTATTGATTCAGAGTGACCAGCCATCCTAGTTTTCCTGGAACTGTCCTAATTTTAGGACTGAAAGTCCAGCGTCTCGGCATACAAAAATTCCTGCTTTTCGGTCATATGTATAGAAGGTTGAAAGGAAAGTACAGAAACCATGCGGTGGGGTAAGAAAATAAACTGAAAGCAATAGCTTGACACAGTTTGTACAAGTAGGTATGACATAGTTTATCTGCCTTCCTTAGTAGCCATTACTCTTTTTTCTCCTGACTCCTAATGCCGACAACAGTGGATCCACAATAATAGGTCATCCATTGTTGCATCACTCCAAGTAATACAATATAAGTGGGCAAGGAAGTGTGTTGTAATCCTGAGCATTTCCAGTCTTTTATGGCTTTGTACTTTGCAAGGAAATAGTGATAGTTTAATTTTTAACACTGTAAATATTGTGACCAGGTTTTCTAAGATTCAGATAATGGAAATGAGAACAATTAGAATACCAATGTCAGTATGATCCAGACGACACTGAAAAAGAAAGCTAAATGACTTATTTTAATGACAGATGGAAGGACACAGAACTGGATTAGGGAGTTAAATAACCAAAATAGAGCATACTACAAAATATGCAAAACAGAACTTGAGATTGGGCATGGTGGAGACAGGGATGTCAAAACACATATGAAGACTGAATCTCACAAGTTCAGGATGAGACAGGCGAGTACTTTTTAAATCCGCTTTACTTGTTGTCCCCAAAACACCAATGCTCAGCTGAAAATAGCAGTTGCTGAGTAACCTTGTATGTACTACACTAATGAGAACATGCGTTGTCATACTATGCCCTTGATTGTGCTATGAAACTGAGAAAGTTCCATTTTTCTGATCCAGAGATTAGAAAATCTCTGGATCAGAAAAAATCCTGAAATGAAAGAGGAAATTTTGGTAACACAGATGTGTTGACCCCTTATAATATAGAGCTAGTTCTATTAAATCTTACCAAGGATTGTGCTTTCTATAGTGTATCAAGTGATGAATTGAATCATGACAGTAAAATGTTCATCTTAGCTCCTAGGTTCTCTGATTTGAAAATGGAATTTCAAATTGTCTTCTGATTTCTTTGAAGATTTCAATGAAAAAAAGCACAGAAAACATAAATCAAAAATTGTTACTGTCTTGTCACATGTTTATTTTGCCCAGTTTTCTCTCTGCTTCCTTTATGAGACTCCAATCCAGATGTATGTTAAACTCTTTAATTATGTCCAACATGTTTATTAGCTTTTTAATGTTTTATTTTCCTCCATTCTTTTTAAAATTTTAATTTGTGTATTTTCTATTGTTCTATCTTCTAGTCATTAAACGAATTTTTTACTGTGTCCAATGTCTTATTAAAGTCATCCTTGATTTTGTAATTTAATTTGTAGTGTTTTTTAGTTCTGAAATACACATTTAATTCTTAATGATATATTCTAATACTATGGGGAAATCTTCCATGAAGTCATATTTTCATTTTTTCCTTCAGTATCTTGAACACACATGTATTAGTTACTTTTAAAGCCTCTAACACAAAGATCAACTATAGATCTGCTTTCATTGTGTAATTTTTTTTCTTGGTTTTTGGGTTAGATAGTTCTCTCTTTGAACATGCCTTGTAATTTTTTAAAATTAAGTATTGGACATTGTTTGTAGACAACTGTGGAGGTTCCATATAATATTGTTTTTCTCCAGAAAAGGTTTATCTTTTTTCTGCTATGCAGATAGAGTGGGAGAGCTGATTTTGATACTATCCAGGAGTGAGCCAAGTCATGGCTTGGCTGCAGTTGAAATAACTCTGCTTCTTCTCTATTCCTAGGGCATGGCCCTATGTGACTTTCAATTGGGACTCCAGGAAATTCAGCTCTACTTTTCAGAGATTTCCAACCTTGTTGTGTATGCTCGTGTTATGAGTTCAGAATTTAGAAACTATCTTTGAGGTGTGTCCATGTTGGGTATGTAAGACCCTTGATCTGTATTTTTGTCATCACTATCCCTCTGTGATGGTTTCTCTAACACCCAGTAGGCAGCTCTCTACCTGGTTTTAAGCCTTTGTTCTTATCCTGTAGCGCTTTCTGGTTTGGCAAGTATACCCAGGGATAAAAATGGCCTTTCAACTCTCAGCTCTTTATTTCACCTGCCCCTGGTGGGTCTTTAATCTCTGAAATCCTGAGAGAATGCAGATAATGGTTTCTTCGTTGTTATTGATTTTTTATTTTGTAAATTACTTTGAAGACATTGGATACATTTTAATCCTATTTTGTTTAGAAAATAAAGACACAAAGATGGTTTATCAAAATGTTATACAGTAGAGTGGCATCTGAGTTAGGGGTTTGTTTTTGATGTTTGTCAGTAACGCAGAAATTATACAATTGCACACTATCAAAATTAACACTGAAAATCTCTTTAAAATCACTCAAAGTACAGTCATGTTATCTCTCAATAATTTAGCCAGGTTTTTTTTTTCCTCACCAGCATTACGTGATTTGCCATGTTCTCAGTTGAAAATGATGCAGGATTGGGTGAATCCCACTGAGTGGGGACTCAAGTCCTACATTGAGAAAGAGAGAGTTCTTGACTTCGAGCAGGAAGAAATTCAAGTGCATGCCAGAGATAGAGACAAAAAGATAGTTTATTAGAGAAGGAATAATGCT